AGCCTTGTTCAGGCTGTAGTCTCAACTCCAATTATATCTCTAACCATTGCACTCTTAAAGTTTTTTCTATTCCCTCTATCTAATTTTTAAAAAGAAAATCTAATAATCAACTCAAACTCAATGATTATTCTATTAATCTTATACAATCTACTACTATCAAAAGCCCACTTGATATTCTATCATTACCTTTTATTAATGTTACTGATTCTTTTATATCTTTGCTTTTCCCTAATAATCCTGCATTTAGCAACCTTTTCCAAATCACATTAGCTAACAAATCTCACAAATAATTTACTTTTTTTACTAATGGTTCTATCAAGAATCTTGGTACAGAGCAATATACTATAGTTATTGGTTTGATCCAAATCTATAATAATATCATTATTCACAACTTCTTTACCCAAATTACTAACTGACCCTTATTATACAAAGCTAAGCTCATTGCTATTCTCTCTGCTATCTCTACTGTCTCACGCAACTTCTCTGTTAACATCTTCACTGACTCTCATCTCTAAATATAACAAACTTCTCCAGACTTCACATTTCTTTACCAAATATTTTAAATTTAACTTATAGCCTATTTTGCACACAATTCTTAACTCTCTTAAAGCCTATAATATTAGCTTAACCTTCTACAAAGTTCATTCTTATGCCAATAGTATTTTTAATAATTTAGCAGATTATCTTGCCAATAATCATATATCATTTTCTACTCTGCTATTTAACTACTCTAATATTCACAACCTCTACTTCTTCTTTCAATAGAAAAACTTCTTTATTAATAGCTATCCATACTAGATGATTTATCAAAAATATTTGCAAAGCAAAAACTATTTCTATATAGTCTTTACAAACCATACCTCTGAATGGTTACATTTTTCTAGCATTATTAACTAGAACTCTACTTCAATAATAACCAAAAAAGATTATATAACTTTACTAATCCTGAGCTTAATTATCTTAAATCTTTTAAAATTAAAATGCTACTTAATAGCCTTTTTACTCATTCATACTTTCATTCTATATTACCCAACATATTTCTATTCTCCTGTTGTTTTTAGTGCAACCTTTCTAAATCCTCTACTCATTAGTATTTCTACTTCTATTATAACCTTTTATTACAAATTATTCACTCTTCTATTTCTAAAACTATCTCTAATTTTGACCTCAATCTTCCTTACTATAAATTAAACTATCTAATACATATAATCTTCTCTCACCCCTCTTTTTCTCCCTACTCTTCACCACTTTATCCACACTCTCTTTACTCAACCCTTAAAGGTTTCATTCCCATTCCTCTTATTTAATACATACTACCATTTGATATTTCATACTTTATTGCCTCTCAAATTATTATCCAAGTTCTTATCAAAATCTCCAACTAAATTTACAATTAAATTTAAAAATCATGCTGCATTAACTTTTCTACTTAGAAAAAAGCATATAATATATCTTTATACTTTGTCTCTACTCAACTTCATCAACAACCTCTTCCCTGTTCCCATTCTAAAACCCATAATATATTTACATATAATTGCCTTTGCAACTTACCAAATCAACTAAACTCTGATTTTAATTCTTCCCACCTACTGGACTTACAAATCATAAATTTAATATCTGGATTACTATGTGAGCTCAGTATAGCATCTTCACTAACTTTATTCTAACTATTCAAATCTAGATAATTCTTTAATAGGTTTAGGATACAGATAAATAATTAGTCTGAGCTCTTATTCTTGCATATAGTTTATATTTATTTATTTGTATATAAATTAAGTTTTTATTTAGTTTCTATATATCTACTTATATAAATTACTCAATAAAAATATGAGCAAGGCCTCACCATTTAAATTAAAAGAAAAAACTATAAAAAAAGAATCTTTTAATAACTTTGTTTCTTCTGTTAACTTATATTATAAGGTTTTTTTTGCTTAAATTCTTTCTTAAGGTATTGAAAAACAATTTAAATTAGCAAAAATAATTTTAAAAGAACTTTTAAAAAATAACCAAAGTAAACTAGCTCTTACTATAAATATATTGATTTCTTATTTTCAATCTTTTCTAGAGTTCCTAGATTCAGTTCAGTTTAAATTCATAGAAATACTAATCTTTTTTCAGTATCACTGTTTATTGAATTAATATCTAGAGAATATTGCATATCATTTATCTCAATTTTATACCTTTATCTGACTTCTATATTAATAATTTCTTTGAAAAAAGATCTTTGAGATTATTGAAGACTTTGAAATTAAATTAAAGTAATTAGCTTTATTGAAGATAACACATTAAATAATAAAAATTGTTATAATTACTTTCAAAAAACTATAAACTCTGATTTTATATTTATTCATTGTGTGGCACATGCTATTAATTATGCTATTGAAGAATTTCTAAAAATTTGTAATCAAATTAATAAGGCCATCAATTTTTATAATAAATTAATCAATTTATTTCAACTTTTAAAAAAAATTGAAAAAAAACTTTACTATAATCTATCTTAATTTTTTTAATCCTAAAATTGATATAAATAAAGAGTAATACTCTCTTTTCAATACTTGAATAATTTATTTAAGTCCAGAAAATTACTAATACATTTGCTCACTTCCACTCAGATATAAAAGAAATTTATTTAAAATCTAAAAATTGGAAAATAATTAAAGAACTAATGAAGATTCTTAAACCATTCTATAAGGCAACTTGAGTTTTTTTCATGTGATCTACAACCTTTGTATAGAGGTATACAAATAATTATTCATGGCCTTTTATCTTACTCTGATCACTATCTTACTATTAAAGGAGTAAAAGAAATAAAGAACAGGTTAAAAAACTATTTATATTACCTTCTAAATTCTTCCAGTGTGCTTGTTTTACTTGATCTGCTATTTAAGTTTAAAATTTTTGATGATGAAGGTACCAAGAATTATATTCTAATAAATTAAGAGTGACCTACCTTAAGCCACCTAATTGCAAAATCTATAAAAATAGAGGATCTATTAAATTTTTTTAAAAAGCTAATAATAACTAGTGAAAAAAATAAAGAATTACCAATAAGTGAGTTAGACTTTTATCTTACCTTGTCTAAAAAACCAGAGATTAACATGCTTAAGTAGTGGAAAAGTAATAGTTGCTTGTGCCCAACTTTAGCACTTATAGCAGCAGACTTTTTTTCTTTGCAAGCTACTAGTATTCGTAATAAGCATGCGAGATCTGTAGCAAAAAATATTATTAAATCTACAGGAAAATACTCACTAGAGCAAAGCCAAAGCTTCATTGCTCTTAAAAAACTGGTTTAAAGCAGGGATCATGGATTAGGCAAAAAATTTAAATAAATATTGTATAAATATATCGATATGAATTATTGTAATTTTTAAAAATTTTTTTTGAATAAATTTACTATATATACAGTATTAAAAAAATTAAGATCCCATGATATCTAATACTGCATGTGATTTTGGGACTCAGGTCCCAAGTCTGCTTGAGACTGAGTACAAATTAAGACTTAGTTTCTGGAGTCAAGTCGTGATCGGACCGGGCTTTTCACGTCCCTAGGTATATGTGCCAGGGCTTGTACGTATGAGTAAGGCAATAGAGATGCATATGATTGTATACTATAGAGATTATAGATACAGTATGCATGTGAATAAGATTATTGATATTCATATGATCGAGATTATAGACATGCAGGTAGGCGCACAAAACAGAGATTATAAAGATACGTGTGGGAAAAGAATTGAGAATTTTAGTACTTTCTTACTTCACTTATCTTGTTCACTTGTTTTCTTCATTGCCCATCATGTATCTTCATAATGTTTAATAAAGAGATCCGAGGGAGAATAAGAGTAAATAATTGTTGTTACATTGATATATTTGCTATATACTATTTAATTATATTTTATACTTAAGTATTAAGTATTTTTTTTTTTTATATAAATGTAATCACATGAATGTGTTATTATGAATCTCCTTTATATTGAATTATAGGAATAATTTTAATTTGCTTAAAATTAAATAAACTGGCAAGCTATTATTTTTATACATAGAAAAAACTTTACAGCACGTTTATCTAATTTAGATTATTTATTTCTTAAATTTAAGGTTTTGAACTAAATTTTATTTAAGATTGAACCCCTATAGTTGTTAGATAATACCTTAAGGTTTAGCACTGACGAAATGCGAAACCTATCGTCAATTAAAACCTTAAATCATCCATCATCATGTAAAGTAATTCAAGTCATCCATCATCATGTCAACGGTAGATATACTGTTTTTGATGATTTTTGGCTTAACATATGGGTGGATTGTGCTTATTTGTGATATCCAAATATGATCACATTAAAATAAGTGATGTGATAATATTAACTTCATCTTATTTAGTTATATATAAATTGATTATATAAATAAGTTTATTACACGATCTGTCCATATTTATATGTTTGACCTAAAAAAAAAATGCTAAGTTCGAAAAATTATTTTAAATCCAAAAACATCAATAAAAGGCACATCGAGATATTGCATTATTTGATAACGCATTCATTGTATGCAATGAATATTAGCATTAAAATTCATTGAAAAGATTTAGCTGAATAAAAAAAAAAAAAAAAGCCAAAAATTTTTAACTACAAATTATAACAAGTCAATACATGTTATTACATTGATGAATTTTAGAGATACGATATAAAAAAAAATTTGTATTCAAATCACTTAAGTTTGAAAAAAAAAATGAGAATGTCATTACTACATAAAGTTTTTCTCTTTTATTTTCTGTTTTTATTAATAGTCCAAGCAACATCACCTAATATTAGATCTTTTAGCGAAGATGAAGGTTGTGAACAAGTTTAATATCCAGCTATTATTATATGGGCTATAAAATAACTAAATTTGCATGGCATGGCCTTCGGCCATGTAACCCCGTGCAAATTTAGTTATTTTTTACAACCCATACAATAACTATAATAAATCTTATTATTAACCTCAACTCAAAAAATGCCTTTTTACTATCAATGAGTTAACCGTTTATCCGGATGATCTTGATTATTATAATTGCATTAAAGTTGCAAATTGTTGAAATTCCTATTTTCCTGTAGTGATAATTTATGTTACTACAATTTTAGATATTCAGATATCAATTCATTGTGCAAATACTTTAACCATTTCGGTTACCGCTAGATCTGGTGGCCACTCTTTTGAAGGTTATAGAATTGGCGGAAAGAATGGTATTATGGTGATTGATGTCAAAGAGTTTAATCAAATTACTATTAATTCTGAAATGAAAACTGCTGTTATTGGAACTGGAAATAGATTAAATACCATTTATTATAAATTATATGATTTATAGAATAATTTTTATATCGTTTTTTAGTTTAGCAATTTTTGATAGATTTATTAGGGTTTCGGTATAGTTATAAGAAAATATGGAATGTCATCTGACAATATTATTAGCGCTGAAATGGTTATAGCAAATGGAACTTTTATATCCCTATAAACTCCACACATCATTCTGATATATTTTTTGCACTTCGAGGTGCTGGCAATGCTGGCTATGGCATAATAACTTCTCATCCCTTCTTGATTCATTCTATTTGGCCAATAGTT